ATCCAATAACAAACTACCCCACCCACGTTATATTTATAGCAAGTAGATTATAGCAAGTAGTTGATTGCGTTTGATGCAATCAACGCATAAGATAACGCAATTACGAGCGAAAATGGTGCAATTTGTTAAAATACAGGAAAACGGCTAGTGGTCTTAAACTTTTGCACGTGACTGGATATATATTCCAACGCTGTTACCCGGCTCATTGAGCTCAATTATTTTATTCCTATATGTTGGTAAATCGTGCCTTTTTTGCTTTTAAGAGTGATTGAATTATGTTGTTCTTATGTTCCGGTTAAGGGTTTTTTTTTTTTTTTCCATTAGTGAATTTACATGTAATAGTTGTAGAATTATCAATAATTTCAAAGTGGCACAAGGCTTAACGAGGCCGCCATTTGTTATTATATCTCTAATACAATTTGAGCGAATACGTTTAAAGAAAGTACAGCAAATAATGTGTATATGTAATAGGCCATACAAAGGAAATCTTACAGCAAATAAATGTGTATAATTTAATAGGCCATACAAGGAAGTCTTGCAGTGTCCACATCAGATATGTTCTTTCTAACTATACAAGCAAGCCTGGGGAATTTTTCTCAAAGAACTACGAGAGAAATGAAGAAAACAACTTAAATCAATACTCTGACAAGATTACGGGATACGTGGGTTGGGCTGAATATAATGAATACTGAAGAACTGCATGAAGGGGGGGGGCGAATTGTTAACAGTAAGCAAGACAATTTAAAGCAACCATATTAAAATTTTAAAAAAAAATCTTGTTAGGATCTTCTTTCATTGCATTTAAAGCGCTGAGTTGGTTGTTAATAATAGACAGATCAAATAGGAAATTTAATATATTACTCTTTGCCGAATGGCAACACACTGGCGCATTGAATATGAAGATAGTAGATATAGTGTTTAGTTCCAGCAAGAGTAAACAAATACCCGATAGAACATGTATCGGGTATTTGTTCTTTTTAATATTCAGTGTAATCTCTGCGGGGTGAATTGAAATACTTGATACCATGAGCTACGGTGCTTCTATATTTCGTATTTTGGAACTATCAGTATCAGAAAAAATTGTGAATGAATCATGAGGTAACGAAATTAATTTTTACAGCTAATATTTTGTAAATAATACTTCCAAATTAAGGAAACAAATCTGATGTATACACCACATGACGTCCTTGTACGGAATATTAAATTATACGCATTTTTTCTTGCATTTTATTTAAACTTATGAGATTGAATTAAACCTACTTCGCCGACAGCGCATAAACCACAATAGAATAAATGCATTCTTTAAAATTCACTTTGTTTACCATAGCGACACTCTGGCGCTAGGTTTACTTAACAGTATTATATTTCATTCATATTATAACTCAGAATGCACAAAATGTATATCATTTAAAGAATTATCTAATCGTTGCCACATGTTCTATTCAAATACTATAATAAAGCTAGAACTATGTATAAAGAAATTAAGCAAACAAAACAAAAAAGAAAACAGTTTTTCACAGACGATTGAGTAGTTCTCATTTAATTAATTCGGTTCTCATTTCGCGAGAAGGCAAAAACACATAAAAACTCAAAATATCTATATTAAAAATTACGAAGTAAATTTCAAAAGCTTATTTCCTCGAAAAAATTCCAGAAAGAATTAAGCATGATTTAATTGGCTATAATAAATGAATGCGTTATCTTTGTTGTTGCGAAGCTAAGTTTCTCTAGATTGGCAACAAATCCACTAGTCTCCTGTTTCAAATAAAAACATCAATGGCCGCCATTAAAAACAGGCTTTAATAAACAATTTTTAACAATTTTTAAACAGGCAAGCGGCAATTAAACAACTTTAAAATTGCTGATAATTCTAAAAATATTGCACACAAATTTACTAAAAGCGTAAAATCCGTAACCGGAAAATAAAAACAATATAATTCAATCATTTTTAAAGAAAAAAATGTATAATTTACAAACATATAAGAGTAAAGAAACTGAGATTACTGAGCCGGGTAATAAAGTGGATATATATATAAATATATTTATATACGTTTGGTGCGGCCGATTGCAACCAAAATACGAGGTGCACATCTACATATTATATCAGTCCTATATACAAAATTTCAACGTTCTGAGGCTACTCGTTTTTGAGTTATGCGAAATACGTACGTACGCACGAACGTACGTACATACGTTCGTACAAACGCCACGAAACATTCTCTTCAGAATTCATTTTAAAGCAGCTTCATAATTTTTTTGAAGGAAAAGAGTATTTTATTCTGTCCTTACGTACAGATATCACGCAAAAACATCGTTAAATTGCATTCGATAGCGGTCAAAATGGACATTTTCGTTGAAATATGCTGCCTGAAACTTTTCGTGATTACAATACTTCCTTTTTACTTCGTACAAGGAAGTAAAAAAAGGAAGAAAAGAATGTGATTTGAAAAATTCAAATTAATTCAAAATTTCAGATCAAATAAAGTCTTTAAAATGAAACCAAATTTAATTGTTATTCAATAAACATTGATTAAATTAAGCATATCTTTTACGCAATTTTATATTGCATAAAAAGATAATACGTTTCATCTTTAATTAACGTAAAAAAAAAATTGTCTTGAACTGTTTGAATAAAAGTAAAACTGTGGTTGTACTAAAATTAAGTATTTTTAAAAACGTTTGCACCATTTTTTTTGATTAATTTTTACTCTCTACCCTTTTTTTAACGTTTTAATTCAGAATTTTTATTTAAAAATTTCTGCGCTTATTTCATTCCATTATTATTTTTGCTTATTCAGTTCCTAATTGTCACTGTATTAAGATACTGGAATATTTTATTTTAGAAATTAACTCTAGTTACATAGATTTAATTTCAAAACATTTAATGTGCATTTTTCTTAATTTTATTTTACATTTGATGGTTTAACTAGCATGTTATGGATACTTCGATATTCTCGTGACAGCTGTCGACTTACGGATGCTGCTAACATATACGTGTTTCAATATACCCAGATTTCAACATTTTGTATTCAGATATCACTTCGCTGAACAACGGCCGGGTAATAGATAAAAATATTAGTAATAGATAAAATTATTATAGCCTTATACTATAATAAAGCTAGAACTATGTATAAAAGAAATTAAGCAAACAAAACAAAAAAGAACAGTTTTTCACAGACGATTGAGTAGTTCTCATTTAATTAATTCAGTTCTCATTTCGCGAGAAGGCAAAAACACATAAAAATTCAAAATATCTATATTAAAAATTACGAAGTAAATCTCAAACGCTTATTTCCTCGAAAAAATTCCAGAAAGAATTAAGCATGATTTAATTGGCAATAATAAATGAATGCGTTATCTTTGTTGTTGCGAAGCTAAGTTTCTCTAGATTGGCAACAAATCCACTAGTCTCCTGTTTCAAACAAAACAGGCGATAAAAATGTAAATATCGGCCTCAGAGATGTTTGGTTACTTTTCTGTTAACAGCGCACAACTTAGCGCCAACCATAAATGTTGGCGCGAATTCTAATTAGACGACAGCACGCTAACGATACGTAATGTTCCATGAAAAGAATAAACTTGTAATACCGGTAATGTGTCACATAATATATACAATGTGTGATGTGGTGCAAATCTCCGAAATTTTTAAGCGAAAACAGATCGCTGTCAACATGGGGAGAGCGGCAGTTGTTCTGAGTTGTTGTTCTCCTCGTGTACAGAGTTATGTGTTTTCACTTAAAAACACATAAAAGATTTGCAAACATTAGACATCGTGTATATTAAACATTCTACAGTTATATATGGATCAGTATAAATATACTACATCTGACGCTTTGGCACACATTTGGCGACTGGCTTCCAGTTAACAGAAAAGTACCGATTTTTGTGCTTTTCTAAAAACATTTTGTTTCCTGTTAAAATATTTGTAGTTGTTATTGTTTGCGACCTCTCGGGATCGACTGGAGGTGACCCCCTGCGTTCTGGCTAAGACCTGTACTTAGGCAGACTCGGCTCCTGAGGTGAATAATCAATCTTCACAGTGACTCAGTTTTTCGGTGGTAGGTTCAAGCTGGGCAAGGACCCTACTGATACTGTCTTGTTTGCGATCCTAATTCCAAAATCCTAATCCGATCCTAATCCTTGGTTGTGAGGAGGCTACATGGTTAGATTTCGAGAGTTGTCCTTGGAGGGTTGGTTCCCCTTGGTCAACACTGGGACGTAGTCTTTGACCTGACTTCATTCGCTTTGTAGGTCCAGTACCCACTGACTTGTGTTCTAATAACTTTGTGCATTATTGTCCCTCTGGATTGTCCAGGGTGTTATGCGCCCTTGGAACGCTTCTGGGGAAGGAGGCGCAGTAATCGAGTTAAAGCTTGAAAAATAGCGCGAGTGAGGGAGTCTCCTTTCTTGGTGTACTACTATTATTTGGGAATGGAGCCAAATATGTATCTGACATGTGGTATATGTGTATTATTATTTTTTAAGTGTGTTTTATTTATCATAAGTCTTCAGTGTTAATCAAGTGTATCCCTTTCCCCCCTTTTTTCCCCTCTGCGTGTGTGTGTTTCTGTACATTTTCATGTTTTTGTGTTTTCATACATTTAGTACTTAGCTCTGAGCCCCTCACCTGTAAATCCGTCCCACAAGTCTCATACCTGTAATTATGTAATTAGTCAAGCAATGTTAACAAGTCGCCCCTGTTTGGCCATGTAAACTCCAGCACCCTTAATAAGCTCCCGGTGTGGACTCTTGAGGCCACAGGGAGTTGTTGCCATTAGATAGTGGAAGGCGAGGGACACATGCCTGTTTATCTCTGGTAGCCACCAGGCGTCCCCGTCTTCCGTCACCTACCTACCTACCTATGAATCGTAAAGATAGTCAAAGAACTAATTTTTCTCTTATTTTTCGCCAATACATTGGGGACATTTCCTGGAGATGTGGGTAATTTAAATGTGACTTTTGACTTAATGTATTAAATATCGAACGTGTCCAAATTATTTTTTTCCAGACTAAGTATGGATTATCTCCTGTGTACAATGGACTCCCTAATTCCGGTAGCTACGGGGGTTACACGAACGGAGGATTCAACAGCCCCGTTGGAACGATCAACGAACTCACCGACCTTTTCAACGACCTGAGCTTCGATTGCAAGCCCACTAAACGACCGCCGCCAAGCTATCTATGTCACTTGTGCTTCAAAAAAGGTCATTACATTAAAGACTGCCCTCAGGTAATCTTCATAATTTTTACACTATGCTATTTGTTTTACTTAAGCATAAAAAAGTATAACATTTGTTTGAATGCAAACATGGCTGTTCTAATTATCCGTAACGAGTTAGGTTTCAGCACCACTATATGCCGTAAACCTATTACTGTTTCAGAAGTCAAATAACAAAAATCAGCGTTATATTTACAAAATTTTCACAGGACTAGTTTCGATGGTTTTACCGAACCACCATCTTCAGCTGCAAAACCGCAAATGAACAAGATAGGAAATAATGATTAGATAAGATAAGAAAGCCTGGACAAGAATAAGCAAGTGGCGCCATCTGTTGACGAAACCAGAACTAAAACATAATTTCTTTAAAGGCCGAAGGTAAATTTGGATTGGAATTAGGATCGTTAACTAGAACAGAAAGATTTTTTTTAATGTGAAATGCCTCTAGAAAATCCAGTTCTCCAATGGAAGATGTTTTTTGAATAATTTTGGCAGCAGAAAAATTGAAAGTGTAATTTTTGGACCAACAATGTTGAGCAACAGAATACTTCTGTGTTTCCTTTTTTCTAACATATGCCTTATGTCCCTTGACGCGAAATTTTAAGGCTCTCTTACTTTGGCCAATGTAAATTAAACGACACTGGCAAGGAATCCTATAAATACCCCAGGATTAACGCTGATTTTTGTTGTTTGACTTCTAAATTAGTATTTATTCGGCGTGTTATTGTGTCTTAACTATTACTGTTTGTTTCTCTTCATATCTTTAATCATATTAACCTGCTTAGTAAAAAACTGCTCTTCTTGCTTTTATGTATATTATGCTCTCGAAATTTGTTCTTCAGGGTCTTTGTTTTCGAATGAACTCAATTATATGTAACTGGTTGCCAGTGACAGAGAATTTTCTCCCATGGTCATTGGCAAAGCTTTCAAAATCTTTTCATCTTGCCATTAAAAAAGACATTCTGTTGTAAGAACTGTTGTAAGAAATAATACTGGTAATCTTGCCTTCATACCATTTCAGCCTCCTGTGAATTATAAAATTTCACATGTTTATCAGATGTTTTAATTTTCAGGTCATTTTCTCTCCTATCAATAAAATTCGTCCTTTCGTTCTTAAATATTCCATCTCTTTTGGAGAAGTGACATATTTTGTTTTTGTGGTTTGAAATACATCGCCCAGACTAAAAGAGCGTTAAAATTTCGAGTCAAGAAACATGAAGCTATGTGAAAATAGGCAAAAAAGGAAAAAAAAAGCTATTCTTTTATAGATAATCAAACTGAGCAATTAATAACAATTCTAACTTAATTAATTATCCATAAAAATGCTTTAAGTTGGAGAACTAGATTTCCTAGAAGCTTTTCACATTACCAAAAAAAAAAAAAAAAAAAAAAAAAATTATTCTCTTTAGTTAATGACAATAATTCCAATCCATTCATTCGTAACACTTTTAGAATTCCAATATCTTAATTTTCATCTTTAATATCTATTTTGCTCGAAAGATAGAGAGTGGTCATAAAGAAAGTTCCCTGATATATGCACCTCTAGCGGCCTAGCGGCTCAACTAATCGAAATGAAATTTCAGATATTGTTACTTAAAAGTATGTGCTCAAGATTCTCATGATTTAAAATAATACAACACTCACAATCATGATCATAATGAGAAAATTTCGAAATTTTCGAATGACAACAGCCACCTTTTTTTTCGCAAATTGATCAGCGTATTGAAAAAAACCTAAATGACGTTGGAACGATACACGTATGGCGAAAATTGCTGGCTTAAAAAATTTGCAAAAAAGAGCATTGTAAAGGAGCAATGACAACACAACAAAAAAGAGGGGAAAATTTTGTTGGAATTACAAGTTTTCATCCTGTCCGATAACGCATTGCATGCGCGAGATTCTTAACAACGATGAAGAACGTAACATCGCGGAAGGAATGTGTATAATTTCACTTTTTGTGGCATCTTGGTGACGCTATCTCCAAAGTGCTCTTGTAACATTTGCCGAACACATGTGGCGACGTAAGGAGGAGCACCATTTTTCATTCCATACAACATCATTAACGACATTTCGTTGCTAAAATTCTGGAATTACAATTCTGCGAGCACTAGTAATGGACAGCACTAGCATTTTGACAGCTATGGAAGTTGCAGTTTCGAAGAAGTACGGATCAAGAACGAATGTGCTTATCATGCCGCACCTGAGAATCACTTAAGCTTCGTTTAAAGGTGGCGTGTAAAGGCGTGGTGCCACATGGGGAGGATTTTCGCCAGCCTAATAAACGCTTCAACTGGCTATCGCTGTGATTTGGCAAAGTGCATCATTGCACCTCCTTTCTGCGTTGTTGTTGATGCTTTACAATGCTCTAGTTTGCAAATATTTTACTCTGTCAATTTCCTTCATACATGTATCTTTCTAATGCCATTTATGGTTTTTCAGTGCGCCGATGAGTTGGCGCAGGACAAAAGTGTGTGTTCCCATTCGAAAATATCAAAATGTTCCCACTGTAATCAAAACCGCAAGACACTCTATTACTTTAAACCATTATAATCTCCAGAGCATAGCTTCAAATAACAATATCTGAAATTTTATTTTAATTGGTTAAGGGAATAGGCCGCTAGAGGTTCATATATCGGGAAGTTTCTTTATGGCTAGCCTGTATATAAGGAAAGTATGCGAAGCCAACCCATTCGCGGTGATGAGAACGCGGATGAGACTGCCAATAGGGAGCACTCATATCTATTCGGCCATTGGCTGAACGGCAAATGTTATGATACCTCAATGTTACCTTAACATTATTATTATTTTATATGTTTTTTAAATTTTATATATTATTTATATTTTAGATATTATTTAATATATAATATAATAATTATTATATATAATATATTATTCGTAATTTTTCATTGGGGGCTCAAACCATTATAGGCGTTGGCCACTACTAAGGCCGGAAGCTGTGGTCAGTTTATTATGAAGGCAGCTGTAACTAAGAAATGTATATGCATACGTATATAAATCGTTCATTATGTAATAACGGAGATAAATATGATCGTCAAATGCGATAAATTTGGATAATTATTGCTTTAAGTTTTGGCTATGTTAAAAAATAAAAGTCCAAAAGGTGAAATTTTAACAGACTCTGGTTGTCTATACTTTTGCAAGCAAGCAGCAACCAATCTCAAGTCCAAACAGTCTTTTATAATTAATCCATAAAACACTGAAAAATTGAAGCAAAGGTATTTTGTCTCTGCTTCCAAAGGGAGACTATAAGGTATTTCTCACGCCTTCTTAACATGTCCAAACTAAAAAAGGTGGTGAATGATGATTCTCCACCACCAGGATTTGGCGATTGAGTCCCCTAATCTCCACTCGCCCTTTAAAAGGGGGGTATATAAGGTATTTCCCCCGCCTTTTTAGCATGCCCGAACTAAAAAAAGGTGGTGAATGATGATTCTCCACCACCAGGATTTGGCGACTGAGTCCCCTAATTCCCACTCGCCCTTTAAAAAGGGGAGTATATAAGATACTGATTGGAACCCACCAGTTACTGATTGGTTAAAATTGCGAAATTTTGGTAGTATGACCTGGCTTTAAACACAGGCGAGCGGAATAGCTTCATGATTGGTTTTTGCTGTTTTCCTTAGATCTAACATGAATATGAGCCAGTTTCCCTTAGAAAGGCTTCCACGAAGACATTCCTCTCCTTAAGCAAATAGTCCTTATTTACGTTGACACATCAAATAACCTAACATCATCTAACCTCAGCTCTCAGGATTAAATACTATGGACTGGTAACTGTACAAAGAACGAAATACTTTGAAACCACATTAATCTATTTTTCGCCTACGACGCTCGTTAAAACCGCAAATAGAGATAACCTTAATTTAAATTTAAATATGAATCGATATCACCCTAGGCTACATTGACAACATAATTTTACTTTTATTGTTCAAAGACCTTTTATTTGCTCCATATACAAAATAGACAGATATGAGTCACTTAGAAAGTTCCCCATGAAGGCATCCCTTCTTAAGCAGATAGTTGCCGTGTGCTTCGCCTTTTTCAAATAAACAAACAGTTTTCAAAGAAATAAAAAAAAATGTGCTAGTCCCTTTCAATTACTGGGCACTTGCTAGTTGCCATTTCTCATGTAAAATAACAGACATGAGAACCATAAACATGGTATACCGTCTTCACCAGCAAATAACCCGCATATAAGTCGCACAGTAAAATGTAAAGGAACGAGAAATAAAAGATGTTTCCCTAATATAAACCGAGGGAAGAAAAGAAAATATCAATCATCATTTACCGACAGAGCTGTTCGCTCATTTTTTCAGACGATTTTCCTTGTATTTCCAGATGTATTTTACCTAAATTATTGTGTTTTAGATGCCTTATTTGATAATCCCTTATTCTTCACCATCTTTCAACACCATAATTTCCAAGACACTAAAGCCTTTTGTATTATCGGAAGAGGTATTTTATCCCATTCCTATTCAACAGCTTTCCAAAGTCCAAGGACGAGGTCGACGTTTGGAAAATCCACTATTTTAAAATTCCAAAAGCGCAGAACTCAATATGGGTGATACACTAGAGATACTATAATCTTGGTACCCGTTTCTTGCTCCATTTTTTTCCAGGAAATTAGAAGTGGATTTTTCACGTGCCTTGCTTTGTCAATTCTACTGATCCATGGCACTGTGGATAAAGAGAACGTATTTCATATTTGAAAATTAGGCACAAAATATGTTTCTGATAATATGATAAGTTGATCTTAGCATTTGTTCTTCACTCTCTTTATTTTTAATTTGCCGTTAAATGAAAAACCAGCAACAATTATAAATCCCTTTGAAAATTTTTCTTTAGTTTCTCTGAACCATGTTTTAAGATTTTTTTCTCATTTTCGGTGATAATAAATGGATCTATTTTTATTGCAGTCATTTAAATACACCCAAAATATATATAATTTGATAAAATTTTCCCCTTTTTGTCCGGATAAATGTATCTCATAA